AGTATGTGGTCTCATTTTTTTTTTTCTTTTTTAAGGAGAATAAAGAATAGAAACTGCAGAATTTCACTAAACAAAATAATAAGAATTCTGAAATGTTGTACTTCACAGAAGTCTATTGAGGTTAATTTTTTTTTTCCTTTGGGCCTGATTAGCACAGCTTTAAAAAAGAAAAAAAAAAAAAACTTTTTTGGGCCGACAAGATAGCTCAGCGGAGTAAGCACCTGGTCCCACATGCCAGGCTGGCCCCACTCCCAGGCATGCTGTGCCAGTGACTGAATCTGGGCATGGTGGCACATGCCTGTAATCCCAGTGCTGGGGAGCCCGAAAACAAGAGGATCACTACGAGTCCAAGCTGTATAGGAAGACCCTATACCAAATACATAAAAAGAAAAAAAAAAGTTCTTTCTAGTATGCTTGTGTTTTGAGATTTTATGAAATTAAAGGAAATCATTATTCATATATTACAATTATTGGCCAACCTGAGATGATAAAGAAATTAAGGAATAAGTGCTATTTAACACATTTTTCATAAATTATTGGGTAATATTTCAGTTGGTAACTTCAAATTTTTTATAAAAATGAAAAAAATTAAGTCAAATTATTTAAAATTAATTTTCATTTCATCACATATTTTTTTCATCTTTCTTTCTTTCTTTTCTTTTTTTTTTTTTTTTTTTTTTGCATTACCTGGGGTTGAACTCAGGACCCTGCACTTGCCAAGGAGAGCTTATTCTACCGAGCTATCTCCTGACCCCCTTTTTTATTTTTAAAAAATGTTCTCAGGTACCGTTAAAGGAAAATAGAATGGGATGAATGCCATAGGCTACAGTTGGTTGTTTACATTTTAATCTCACCTTTCAGTAATGTAATTTTCTTATGATGATTTTTTATTTTTGTTTTTATTAATGTACCTTTTATATTACAGAAAATTACCCTTTCTTGTTGCACAGTTCTGCCTATTGTGACAAATGTATGTACTTGTGCAAATACCACTGTAGTCGATATAAAGAATACTCCTATCATGCTCAAAAAATTATTTAATACTTGTAGTCAGTACTTCTACATCATGTACAGGTTTCCATCTCTATAATTTTGTCTGTGAAAGAATATTATTTAAGAGCAGTTATATAATGTACTGTGTCTGAGCCTGTCTTCTATTTGCTTGGATATAAAGTCATTCATCCAAGTTGTGTGCACTCTAGTTCATTTTCTTTTTTTTTTTTTAATTTTTAGGGAGTGTTCTGTGGTATGGGTGTATTAACAGATTGTTAATCAGTTCCTTTATTTGGGGGATGTGAAATTGTTTGTAGTTTTTTGGTGAATACTAATAAAATAGCTATGAAGATTCATGTTGATGTTTGTGAATGAACTCAGGTTGTATGTCATTTAAGTACATAAATACCCATGAGTGGGAGCTATGGGTCGTATGGTGTGGTCAGCTTTGTCGGAAGCACCCCAAATCTTTTCCCACCTAGCTATACAGCTTTGCATTCCTAGCAGCGTCTGTTGTTGCTTACTCTCCATTCTTGCCAGTCTTTTTTGTTTAGCAGCATCCGATGGCTGTGTAGTAGTTATCTCTTCGTGTAATATCCATTTCCCTAATGGCTAATGGTGTTAAAAATCTGTCTGCATTCTTATTTCCATCTACCTTTCTTATCTAACCTTTAATTTATAATTGAAAACAAAATTATAAATTCTTATGTGAGTAACATATTTTGAAATTTGTATACATTGTGGTATGATTAAATCACAAAAATTAACATATATACTAGAGCACATACTTAGTTTTTCTTTGGAGGGAACACTTCAAATCTACTCTATTAGCAATTTTCAAACCCAGGATATTTTGTCATTTTATCTTGTGGGCAACGTCTTCCCAACTATCCCCAAACTGTTGACCATCGTTCTATTCTGTTTCTATGAGTTTATCTTTTCCAGATTTCTATAGACTATATGAGTGAGATCATACGCGCTTGTGTTTTTTTGCCTACCTTATTTCCTTACATGGAATGTCTTCCAAGTTCATCCATGTGTTTAAAATGACAGGAATAAAATGCTTATTTGTAAGGGTTCAATGGTATTCCATTGTTTGTATATTTCACAGCTTCTTTATATACTCATCTGTTAATGGACTCTTCAATTTTTTTTTTTTTTTTTTTTTTTTTTTTTTTTTTTTTTTTTTTTTTTTTTTACTGTAATGGTCCTCCTGATTTGTGCCTCACTAGTGCTGGACTTATAGGCATGAGCCACCACGCCTGGACTTCATCACCAGTTCAGCATGCCTAGGGGTGGGGCTGGTGTGGCATGCAGTGCCAGGGATCAAAATCTGGCCCCTTGCACTTACCTAAGCAAGCACTTAGTCCACCGAGCTATATCATTGGCCCTGGACTCGAATTGATTCTACTGTTTCAATTATTGTGAACAGTGCTGCAATGACTAGGAGAGTACAGATATCTCTTTGCCATGCTGACTCATTCTCTTTGGATATAGGCCTAGCAAGAGGATCACAGAATCATAGATAGCTCTGCTTTTAATTCTTTGGGGAGCCTCTCTACTCTACCGTGATGAATGTACTAACTTACTTTCCTCCCACAGTGTGAAGTCTTCCTTTTTATCTATTTCCTCAGCAGCACTAGGTGTCTTTCATCTTTTTAATGATTTCCATCCTAACATTTGGAAAGGGGTATCTTAATTGTGGTTTTGATATAGCTTTTCCTGGTGGTTAGTAACATACAGCAGCATTTCCCACCTGTTAGTGTTTTTATGTCTTCTTCTGAGAAATATCTATTCCTTTGACCATGTTTTTAAGTGGGTTGTTTTGCTATTAAATCATTGGAATTCTTTATTTTTGGATATTAATTTCCATATCATATATATGTTTGACAAATATTGTCTTGTGTTTCACTTTTTTTTTCAAATGTATGGTTTTTAATTGTTTTAGCACTATTTATATTTGAAAGACTATCCTTTTTCCATTGAATGGCATTTTCACCTTTGCCAGAATGAAGTCATCATACGTATGTAGGTCTCTTACTGGATCATGCTTTCTTTCCTCTTGTCTCTATGGCTTCCTTCTCCAGTACAACTCTGGACCTTGTGCTTACCAGGCGGGCGCCATACCGTTGAGCTGTCTTGCCAGTGCAGCGCTGCTGTCTTGATTGCTGCATGTTTATCGTAAGAGTGTGTGTCAGGTACTATATGGAAGTCTACTAACTTTAAGGAGATTGTGTATTTTGATAGTGTTGTGTAGCGTTTTCTGTCCGTATTATTCAGTTTACTTGATAATGCCACTCATGCCTTCTATGCCCTCGGTGAGAGTTTTCTATTTTTGCTGTCAAATTTGAAAGAGCACCTTCAAGTACATTTATGGATTTTTTTCTATATCTTCTCTCAGTTCCATGAGCATTGCTTTATGTATTTTGAATTCCTGTTATTAGGTACATGTACTTTTATGTTCGTTATGTATTTTTAGAGATTGATCTCATCAAAATTAAGTAATGTTCCTCTATCAGTTTTCTGCAGTCTGTTTTGTATGACATTAATACAGTTGCTTCCACTTTCTTTTAATGTTTGCCAAACATTTTTATCAAGTATATCATTTTAAGACATTGGGGCCGGGGTGATGGCTCAGTGGAATAAGCGCTTCCCTGGCAAGTGCAAGGGACTGAGTTCAATCCCCTGTTCTGCCAAAAAAATCAAAAAATAAAAAAAAGACATTTATGTCATTTTATGGTACATATTATCCTTTTTGATAATTTTTATTTTTATATTTTGCAATACTCAAGATTGAACAGAAATCTAGGGCTCCGCCATTCAGTTACACCCTCAGTCCACACCCCCTTTTATTTTAGAGAAGGGTCTTGACAGCTTGCAAGGGGGAGAAAGTAAAGGCCCCACTTTCCAACACCAGGCTGGCTCTAGTGCCCCCATAATCTGAACAACTTGCGTAAGACCTGGCCTCTGAATGGCTGGGGAGGGCATTCAGACAGAAACCATCACATAATTACTTTTTAAAGCCATGAAAGTAAAAAATCTTATATTTGCCTTCATTTATTCATTTTCTAGAGCCCCTTATTTCTTCATGCTGTGTCATCTCTTAACAAAAGATTTTTTAAGTGTCTAAAATGTGTCTCTGTGGTTAGTAGTGTAAGAACCCCAGACCTTACTTCCCTTGCCCCTGTTAAAAGTTTAGTGTGCTTTGAAAACTAGTAATACGTTTGATTTTTATAATTCTTTATATTCACTTAGAATTTTAGTAGCATAGGACTGAGTATATTGTTAAGAAATCTTTTGTCTTGATGTACAAAGTCTGACAAGTTTACTTCAAACTGACCTTATTTTAAAATGCTTCCAGAAGTTCTCTTCCTCAAGTTGTATCTTAAACCAAGTTGGTCTATAGTTTTCTGTCTGTGTCTGTCTTTCTCTTTTTCTTTGCTTCATGTGTCAAATGCGAGCATTCGGGCAGGACTGTTCTACTTTTTGATGCCCCCTTTGTAGTAACCTTATGTGCCTAGATATTTAGTGCTTTTGTGCATTCTTCTTTACAAGTTAAAAAAATAAAGGGATGGGGGAAGGGGGTCCCCGCTCCGAGAAGTGCCAGCTGTCCTAACCCTATAAAAGAGCTGAACGTAAACGTTCTCTGTAATGCCACATGGCTATTTCATGCTAGATCTACACCTTGGGGTCTGCGGTTTGGGTGGGTGTGCTCCAGAAAGTGACCTTATTTGTTTGACTGCTTACGCAGTGCAGCAGCCCAAGGGGCTGCATATTACCTATCAGGGAGAGAGCTGGAGGGAAAGAGCAGGCTACGAAGCCTACAATTTTCTGAGCAAATTTATTGTGAGAAAAAAGTATATTTGACATCTGGGCTAGTAGTGAGACAGAATTTCTAAACACTTGGCAGTTTGGAGAATAGCTGCAGCGGACACTTAGTGTCAAGCATTCCCCATTGACTCATGTCCAGAGCATAACATTTTCTTTTTGTCTTTTTCCCCCTCAAGGGGTGCTACATCCATTGTGTACAGATGCAAACAGAAGGGGACCCAGAAGCCTTATGCTCTCAAAGTGTTAAAGAAAACAGTAAGTTTGTTTCATTATATAATAGCATCTCTGAGGACCGGGCTTAAAGGACAAAGGGGACAGAGAGCTGCTGTGTGCAGCTGGCCTGTTGGAATCCCGACTGTGAGAGTACAGCCCAAGTAGGTCGTTGGCTGTGGAACCCTTGTGGCTTTGAAAGCCACAGGATCTTAAATTGGATGTGTTTTGTAGAGAGAAGTGTGGAAAGGAAAACGATTAGAGCTGGCAGATTAACCTTGCTTTGTATGTATGTATGACAGCCGTGTTATCACTATATATATTATATTATATATATGTTATATATATAGTATAATATATATATAATATTTTAATATGCTGGACAGCCTTCCTATTTAAAAGAAACTGAAAACAACACAAATACCTGTATTTGTCATGGTGTCAATTTTTCAGTGTTTGGGTTGACTTCAACCAAGTGCAGTTGGACCATGCTGTTATTTCTGGGACAGAACCTCCTCATCTAGAAGTTTGTATGTGGACAGGAAGCATTTTGTCTTGGAATTGCTTCTTTTGTCCTAAACTTATAGGTGAGCTGGAAGAGACGAAAGTGTTAGACTCATCGCCAGTGAATAAGGGACATAGCAAATGTGAATTCAAGATATACATGCCAGTGCCTGGGCACTATTGTCTGTTCCCAGAGAGTGTTTTGTCATTTTAATGGCTTCCTGGCATGTTATGTCTTATGTAGTTTTTGCTTATAAAGCCACAAAAAAGACAAGGTGCTTTTTCATACCACATTCATCCTTTTTCAACCTATTTGTAAAGTACATTGACAAGAGAAATATGATACATTAGGAAGTCAAATGATGCCTTCCTTTTTTAGTCTACGGGAATTGCCTCCTTTAATGTCACCAGCTGTTTATATATTGTCTAGCACAGAGAAATTGTAGGACGTCATATAATGCAGACCATAACGGCGTAGGATTTTCAGTCAAGTAGAAATAGAACGACATTTTGAAACAAGCTGTTGGAATTTACCGCCATGGCAAAATAGCAAAGAATATAATTGAAAGAAGTAATTACTTAAATGGCATGTGCTAGTAATAAGCTCTATATTCTGAATTTTCTGGTTGCTGTAAGCAGTTGTTTACTTTATGCCAAAATGTAGATGAGTACAATATTTTCATTGACAAAAATTAGTGTTTTCCCTTAAGTCAATTTCTCTTTTTTCCTAAATCCTTCAAGTTTATTTTTACACGTTAAATATGAAACAGACTATATAAGTGGTTTCTATAAATTAAAGTTTATTACAAATTTGTTAAGTATAGTTTCCTGTAAATATTTACTTTTCATGAAAATAGATCTGCATGCTTAATCAATCTCAAGTTGTTTTTGGAATTGGTGGGATCTTTGGTTGTTGGATAAAACCGTTGTCAAGCCGAGCATGTTGGTACACACATGCAATACTAGCACTCCAGAAGGTGAGGCAGGAGGTTTGCTTGAGTTCAAGACCAGCCTGGGCTACATAAGTAAGTCCAAGGCCAGCCTGTGCTACATAGGGAGCCCTTATCTCAAAAAAAAAATTGTTGATATAATTTGTATTCTTTTGTTTTTCATAACAAAAGCATTGAAAGGGACTAGGGGTGTAATGGTCTAGGGAACAAATATTCAGAAATTACTTACGAATGCTTAAAAATCTCTAAGGTCAAAATACTTGTTTAAAGAATATTGACTCATGTTGAAAATGTTCAGGCTAGGAGGGAGGTGAAGATATTTGGTGGACTGTGGTCTTTGGAAAAGTACAGCTGTGGTTCACCCACTCTCTTCCCTTCTCCACCTCTCCTGACAAACATGCAGAGTGTGGATGGGAACTGAGTGTCACTTAGAGCCGGAAGGCAGATGTCAAACACAGTTTCTGCAGTACCAAATGGAATGAGAGCAAATCCCCTGGAGGAACCTCAACTTGAAATGTGAATTAGATGGAATCCCCAGTGCTGTCTTCAAGTATTAAACCAGGCACAGATACGTGTGAATAAGAGAAATAGCAGGCAAAACCTCCAAGAGCATTTGCTTCAGGGTTTAATTTCATATAGGTCACGAAGACTGAAACTTCTTTATCGAAATGAAATGAGGGATGCTAAGAATCTATTTATAGAGGTAGTGGTGCGGGAGAAATATTTTCTTAGACAATTCACCAGAGGGTTTGCTCCTGAAGATAGAGGGGATTTCAGGAAGTTTGAATTATCTCTGGAACCTGTCAAGATGAACCACGTAGAATTGCCTCAATGAAACTCTTTTTGACTTTGAAATGGGAATTTTATGTGTTTCAATTAACAACTGTACTTTGGTCAGATTTTTTTTTCTTTTATGCTGTGACTAAATAATGAAAAAAATGCACAAGAGGAAAGATTTATTTTGGTTCATGGTTTCAGAGGTCTCAGGCCCGGGCAGCTGGCTCCATTGCTTTTAGGTGTATGCTGAGGCAGAAGCAGAGCACAAGAGAATCCAGAGGAAAGCTGCCTGCTTGCTAGCAGAAAGTGGGGAAGAGCCTCAGAAGAAAGGGTTGGGAAGCAGGTGTAGTCCTCAGTGCTTGCCCCACAGTGCGCTCCTTGGAGTCCTGCCCTACCTGTTTCCATCATCTCCTGCTAATGCCACCAAATTATGACTTCACTAATGAAATTAGAGCTCTCATAATCCAATCACCTTCAAAGTGCTCATCCGCTGAATATATGAGCTTTGAGGCAACCTTGTAGGTCTAAAGCATAACAAACTATGAGACCACTGTACTGCTTCTTTGGATGGCTCTTCAGGTCCCCATTTTATGACTAAACCTAACCCTGAAAGCCCTGAATATTAAACTTACCCTGCTTACCTCTATATATCTATGTATGTATGCATGCATATGAATGTGGATGTATGTACAAATGTATGTATCTGTGTTCATTTCCGCGAGTAATGTAGTCAACTATTAGAATCTGATGGCTTATACAATACCAGTGAACTCTTTCACATTTCTGGAAGCTAGAAGTCTTGACGCAAAGTGCTAGCAGGGAGAGTTCCTTCTGAGGGCCTCTAGGGAAAGTCAGCTCCATGTCCCATGCCTCTCACCTTGCTTCTTGTGAGTCAACAGTTCTTGGTGTTCCTCGACTTGTAGATCATCGCGGTGACCTCTGCTTCCATTACAACATGGCCATTTTGTCTCTGTGTGTCTTTATATCATCTTTCTTTTATGGATGTCTGTGCTCGAGTTTCACACTTTCTTACAAGAAAACCAGTACCATTGGAGTAGGGCCCCACTCTGCTCCTGCATGACTTAACTAGTGTTAACTTAGGTTAGTGTAACTTAACCAATTACATCCATAATAATGCAATTTTGAAATAAAGTCACACTCTTAGGTACTGGGAATTGGGGTGATATATCTTCTTGAGTAGGCACAATTCTCATAATCAAAGAAATTTAATAAACACAAAGAAACTCACACAATGTATAGTTGCCTATTGGTATATAAACATCTTATTCCTTTTGAAGTTACCTTTTCGATAGCATTAATTATCTTTCTCAGGATCTGTTTAAAACTTTTTTTATGGGATTTGCCCAAATTTCCATTTGTGGCAATGTTAAGTTTCTTTCTTTCAGCTTAATTTGTAGGAAGGGAGTAATTTACACTTTCAATGAGAGACTTACTTTTCTATGAAGAAAAATTTTGCTCATCATTGAGAATTCCTTAAGCAGTCAAATGTCTATGTGGTGGATATATGATCTGACTTGTCTGTAGTAATAATTTTAGGAAAGACTAAAGCACTAGTTATTATGGAGAAATCTGTGTGCCTTTCGTAGTAAGGTTCAGGATGAAGGTGCTGATAATAGACATGAAACGAACTGTTACATTTAGGCAAGTGAGTATTTTCCCTAACATAATATCACTATGGAAACTGACTAAGAAGAGAAATAATTTTATATTAACATGTTCTGTGTGTAGATATAGCATCGTGTAGTTTATATATAGGTAACTACATTTAAGAGAATTAGAATCAAAACTACATTAAAATAAATATCCACTGAAGTTGAAATGTTTGCAGCTTCCTTTCAAAGAGTTAAGTGATGAAAAATGTGTGTCAGTATGTGAGTGAACGCATGCACAGCGACAGCAAAAGAAAGCATACGTGGCAAATATCAGCACTTGCTGGATGTAGAGCGTTGTAACAGTGTCCATGATAGTGTTTTGACATTTCAGCGTATATGAACATTCTTATAATGAAAAGTTGGGAGAAAAATTTAATGCAATGCTAAGATCCTGCTCAATATCATTCAAAAATTTAGATCATTGAGAAGACAGTTTAGGATCTCACAGCCTCTTAATGTTATCCAAAGCATGAGTAACTTTATTATAAATGTATTAAAGTGCTAAAAAATAGAAAATGATAGTTGAGCCAACGTTTTACTGCATTGAAAAAAACAGAGCGTGGACATTTTCTGTGATGGTATCCGTTTCTCCACTTGTATCACTGATGTGGACAAAGCTGTGATAGTGGCGGGAGTAAACAGGAATGTGGCTTCAAGTGCTTTTTAAAAATTTGTTTGGTTGTTATTTGATTTCATTTCCCATTCAGTATTAGAGATCGTTGTAGGGAAGAAGCTGTAGAGTCAGGAAGTGTGGCCCTCATCCTTTCCTTCTGCCTGAACCTAGCCTAGATTTTTAACTTTTTATTTTGAAAGAGATAAAGATTCTCAAGAAGAGCCATCTTTTTGGCTCATAAATACCTTACTACCTTACACAACATAATTAATGGCTTGTAATCACTAGTGGAATTTTCGTGAACACCTTGTAAATCATGCAGCAAGGGTGGAGGAGACAGAGCTACATTTTTCTTCATGCATGAAATCCTCACTATCTCCATTTTATGTGATATTCAGAAGATACTGAACTATAACAAACACGTTACTATGCTGTTTCTCCAGGTTAGGCTGTGGGGCATTAAAGAGTTTGACAATCATAAAGGTTAGCACAACCAGTGATTTACAAGATAGAACCTTTTAACAACTT